AATTATTATTATTATTATTACATTACAACAATAATAATAAAAAAATAATAATAATAATAATTAGAGTGATGATGATGATGATTATTATTATTGTATTATTATTGTTGTTGTTTTTGTCATAAATGTCATAATAATAGTAATAATAATAATAAACAATAATATTAATAATTAGTGGTATTATTATTAGTATTGTAATAATAATATTAGCAATACTACTACTAATTATTATTATGATTATTATTATTATTTTATTATTATTATTATTATTATTATTATTATTGTTTTTGAAATGTAATAATAATAATAATAATAATAATAACAATAATAATAATATTAGTGGTATTATTATTGTAATAATAATATTAGCAATACTACTACTACTAATTATTATTATTATTATTATTTTTACATTACAGTGATACATATCATAATCTCCTTTACTACTAACTGAATCATCATCAACATTGCCATGATCATTAACCACTTCCAGACCGGACACTTTTACCCCCTTCCTGACCAGGGCAATTTTCAGCTTTTAGCGCTATCACACTTTGAATGACAATTGCGCGGTCATGCAACACTGTACCCAAATTAATTTTTTACCATTTTTTTGAGATAGATAAAGCTTTATTTTGGTGGTATTTATTCACCGCTGGGATTTGTATTTTTTTTTGCTATGTAAATGAAATGTCCAAAAATTTTTGAAAAAAAGTGTTTTTTTTATAACATTTTGCAAATAAATAATATTTCATCATAAATCTTAGCCAAAATTTATTCCGTTATCTTTTTAGTAAAAAAAAAAAAAACAAATTAGTTTATAAGCAAAAATTATAATTTTTAAACATTTTTTTTTACATTTTTATTTTATTTTTTTATATTATTATTTTTTATTTTTATTTTTATTTTTTACATACTGTCACCCTAGCAGTACAGTGTCACCATGGTGACAGTGTACTACTTGTGAGGGGTGATGAAGATTTTTTTTTTTTTTTTTTTTTACACTGATTGCTTTTACACCCATATAGGATGTAAAAGCAATCATTTCTCTTTCTCTCTGTGTGCATTCTTGCACTCATTGAGAAGAACTGAGTGAGCTGTGATTGGTCACATCCTGTCACATGGTACAAGGCTGTTTGTGAATAGCCTTGTACCATGTGACCTCTGTGATCATTCACAGATTTCACACATAGTAAGCAATGATGTCACAAGTGACATCTTGCTTACTACTTTGCATGTGATCACTGATTGGCCAATCAGTGATCACATGATCGGGACCTCGTACAGAGGTCCCGTCCGACGATCGGTGTTTCACTGTGTCCGGAGGACACAGCGGGCACCGGATCGCGGTGCTGCGCGCTCCCCCCAGGGAGCGCGCACAAAGCAGGGTGCGGGGAGGCCGTTTATTGACGGCCACCCGACCCTGCAGTGCCACCGTCCGGCCGTTTATATACAACGGCCGGTCGGGAAGTGGTTAAAGATCTAAAATATAATACATTTTTAAAAATATAAAATTCTGCATTCATTAACTGGTTTATGTCTTTCAAACTCTGTACCAATCTAAAGCTGAACTCTCTGAGCAGATATAAAAGAAACAAATTAACGCACTTCTGTATTTATTAAGTTTTTAATCAATTGACCTCCAGAAAGGTTTTACCCCCTTCATGACCAGAACAATTTTTACTATTCAGCACTGTGCTACTTTAACTGGAAAAGGTCAAATAACACTGCACCCAAATGAAATATATATCTTGTTCACACAAATAAAGTTTTTCCTGGTGATATTTAATCACCACTGTTTTTTTTTACATATTTTATATACTTTTTATTATATAAACGAAAAAAAGAACAACATATTGAAAGAAAAAACTATATTTTCTACATTCTGTTATAAAACATATTCAAAAAAGTAAAACATTTAGGCCAAAATGTATTCTGCTACATGTGTTTGATAAAAAAAAAATCCCAATAGATGTATATTAATTGGTTTGTGTGAATGGTATAGCATCTACAAATTGAGGTATATACAGGTATTTTTGAAAATTGATCAATCCTGATAAACAGATGGGGAGGGGGAGCAGGGGCTGGGGTGTGAACATTACATGTTACATGACACAGGTCTCTCTCCTGCCAGCAAGGACATGCTGCTTTGTATCTCTCTGCACGGCATGTTTCCCTAGTAAAACACACAGAGCACACAATGCTTTTTATTAGCACTGATCAATGTATTAGTGTCATCGGGATGTCAGTGGCAGTTAGTCAGTCCTCCCCCCAGTGTCAGAATGCCCGCTGCAGACCCACTATAAGTCACTGATTGCCACCATTACTAGTATAAAAAGAAAAATTCTAGTATGTATATATATACAGTCATGGCCGAAATTGTTGGCACCCTTGATATTTTCCTGAAAATCAAGTATTTCACACAAAAAAGGTATTGCATTAACACATGTTTTGCTATACACATGTTTATTCCCTTTGTATGTATTGGAACAAATATAAAACAGAGGCAGAAAAGCAAATATGACATAATGTCACACAAAACCCCAAAAATGGGCTGGACAAAAGTATTGGCACCCTTAACTTAATATTTGGTTGCACACCCTTTGGAAAACATAACTGAAATCAGTCGCTTCCTATAACCATCAATAAGCTTCTGACACCTCTCACCCGGAATTTTGGACCACTCTTCCTTTGCAAACAGCTCCAGGTCTCTCTTATTGGAAGGACACCTTTTCCCAACAGCAATTTTAAGATCTCTCCACAGGTGTTCAATGGGATTTAGATCTGGGCTCATTGCTGGCCACTTCAGAACTCTCCAGCGCTTCTTTGCCATCCATTTCTGAGTGCTTTTTGACGTATGTTTGGGGTCATTGTCCTGCTGGAAGACCCAGGATCTTGGACGCAAACCCAGCTTTCTGACACTGGGCCCTACAGTGCGACCCAAAATCCTTTGGTAATCCTCAGATTTCATGATGCCTTGCACACAGTCAAGGCACCCAGTGCCAGAGGCAGCAAAACAACCCCAAAACATCATTGAACCTCCACCATATTTTACCGTAGGTACTGTGTTTTGTTCTTTGTAGGCCTCATTCCGTTTTCGGTAAACAGTAGAATGATGTGCTTTACCGAAAAGCTCTATCTTGGTCTCATCTGTCCACAAGACGTTTTCCCAGAAGGCTTTTGGCTTACTCAAGTACATTTTGGCAAACTGTAGTCTTGCTTTTTTATGTCTCTGTGTCAGCAGTGGGGTCCTCCTGGGTCTCCTGCCATAGCGTTTCATTTCATTTAAATGTCGACGGATAGTTCGCGCTGACACTGATGCTCCCTGAGCCTGCAGGACAGCTTGAATGTCTTTGGAACATGTTTGGGGCTGCTTATCCACCATCCGGACTATTCTGCGTTGCAATCTTTCATCAATTTTCCTCATCCGTCCACGACCAGGGAGATTAGCTACAGTGCCATGGGTTGCAAACTTCTTGATAATGTTGCGCACTGTGGACAAAGGCAAATCTAGTTCTCTGGAGATGGACTTGTAACCTTGAGATTGTTGATATTTTGCCACAATTTTGGTTCTCAGGTCCTCAGACAGTTCTCGTCTCCTCTTTCTGTTGTCCATGCTTAGTGTGGCACAGACAGACACACAATGCAAAGGTTAAAGTGAACGTCTCTCCTTTTTATCTGCTTTCAGGTGTGATTTCTATATTGCCCACACCTGTTACTTGCCCCAGGTGAGTTTACAGGAGCATCACATGCTTGTAACATTCTTATTTATCCGCAGTTGTGAAAGGGTGCCAATACTTTTGTCCAGCCCATTTTTGGAGGTTTGTGTGACATTATGTCGAATTTGCTTTCTTTCCTCCCTTTTTTTGTTTTGTCCCAATACACACAAAGGGAATAAACATGTGTATAGCAAAACATGTGTTAATGCAATACGTTTCGTGAGAAATACATGATTTCCTGGAGAAATATCAAGGGTGCCAACAATTTCGGCCATGACTGTATATATATATATATATATATAAATTCCAGTCATTTCATATATATATACACACTGTAAATTTTTATATATATATATATATATATATATATACTGGAATTTTTATATATACACTGGAATGTTTTTATATATATATAAAAAAAAATCCTATATATATTTACAAAAAAAATCATATATATACATATATATATATATATATATATTAATTCCAGTAAATATATATATATATATATATATATATATATATATATACACACACACACATATATATATATATATATAATTACTGGAATATATGTATATATATATATATATATATATATATATATGTATGTGTATATATATATATACACATATATATATTGCTGGAATTTTTATATATACACACATATATATATATATATATATATATATATATACACATACATATATATATATATATATATATATATATATATATAGTAATTAAAAAAAAAAAAAAATATATATATATATATATATATATATATATACACACGCACACACACACACATTTGTAAACGCTATAACTTTCCCCTGAACTAATTAATTTACACATATTTGGATTTTTTTTTTCAGCAAAGACACATAGCAGAATACATTTTGGCCTACATTTATGAATAAATGTGATTTTTTTACATTTTTTTTACTGGAAATGTCTTATAGGAAAAAGTAAAAAAAATATATTTTTTTTCAAAATTGTCGGTCTTTTTTTTGTTTATAACACAAAAAATAAAAACCGCAGAAGCGATCAATTACCACCGATAGAAAGCTCTATTTGTGGGGAAAAAAAGACATACATTTCATTTATGTATAGCATTGCATGGCCGCGCAATTGTCAGTTAAATTAATGCAGCTCAGGAAGGGGGGGCCTGGTAAGGAAGGGGGGTAAATCCTCTGGAGGGCGAGGGGTTAATGTTTATTACAATGTTAACAAATATGAATTCATTCTTTTCTAGATTAGGAAAAAAAATATGGTGATTTTACCATGTGTGGTGAAAATCAGACTGCGGTGACGGAATTCCTCCTCCTTGGCTTTCATAACACTTCTAAGAGTAAGATTGTGGTATTTGTCTTAATCCTGCTAGTGCACTTATGTGCGATCTTCGGGAACCTGTTAATTGTTTTGCTGGTATCTTTCAGTTATATCCTCCACCGTCCAATGTATTTATTTCTCTCGAACCTTGCCTTGGCAGACCTCATTATTTCCACCAGCATAGTTCCCAACATGTTGTGCATCATATGGCTGGATGGTCACACCATGACTATAAACGGGTGCCTATCCCAGTACTTCTTCGTGTTTGTGTCCACCTATGCCCAGTGCTGTCTTCTCATGATGATGTCCTTTGACCGATATTTGGCCATTTGCTTGCCACTACGTTACTCTTCTATAATGAACTTAAACTTTTCTTTACGTTTGAGTCTTTGGTCTTGGATAGTAGGAATTATTTTAATAAAAGTTGAAGTTATTCTACTCTGCCAGCTTCAGTTTTGTACCTCCAACATCATTGACCATTTTTTTTGTGATTTTGCTCCTCTGCTGGCTCTTTCTTCTGTAGAAGTCTCTACGTTGGTTTGGCTTGACTATTCGTTTAACATTTTTGTGATCTTCCTCCCCTTCCTCTGTATCACTTTGTCCTACAGCCGTATCTTCCTTGTGATCTTCAACATTTCATCTCTGAGTGGGAAGAAGAAAGCCTTTTCAACCTGCAGTTCTCATTTAATAGTTGTTTGTACATACTACGGGTGTCTGATTGCAGTGTACATGTCACCAGCCCCTGAAAGTTCAATGTACGAAAATAAGTTCAGGTCTCTTGTTTTCCTCCTACTCACTCCTTTTACTAACCCTATTATGTACAGCCTAAGAAATAAGGAGATCAAAAACACACTCGTGCTGTTTTTCACAAAGAGATGAAGCAAGAACAGAGCCAAAACAATTCTTTTTATTTCAAAGAATGGCCAAAACCTATCCATACCCTCACCCTGATACCCCAGTAGATGTAATGATCTGGTGAGGAGCGGGAATCAGGTCTATGCTGGTGATTTTTAATGAGAACCTCCAACAAAAGTCATCATTACTGCAAGTAAGAAAGGTCTTACTATTTTAAAGAGTGGCCAAAACCTATCCATACCTCACCCTGATTCCCCTGTAGATGTAATGATCTGGTGAGGAGCAGAAATCAGGTCTATGCTGGTGAATTTCAATGAGAACCTCCAACAAAAGTCATCATTACTGCAAGTAAGAAAGTTCTAACTTATACAGTTTAAGAAATAAATAAATCAAAAGACACGCTCCTGCTGTTTTTCACAAAGGAGATGAAGAAAGAACAGAGCCAAAACAATTATTATTTCAAAGAATGGCCAAAACCTATCCATACCTCACCCTGATTCCCCAGTAGATGTATTGATCTGGTGAGAAGCGGAAATCAGGTCTATGCTGGTGATTTTGAATGAGAACCTCCAACAAAAGTCATCATTATTGCAAGTAAAAAAGTTCTTATTATTTTAAAGAGTGGCCAAAACCTATCCATACCCTCACCCTGATTCCCCAGTAGATGTAATGATCTGGTGAGGAGCGGAAATCAGGTCTATGCTGGTGATTTTCAATGAGAACCTCCAACAAAAGTCATCATTACTGCAAGTAAGAAAGGTCTTACTATTTTAAAGAGTGGCCAAAACCTATCCATACCTCACCCTGATTCCCCTGTAGATGTAATGATCTGGTGAGGAGCAGAAATCAGGTCTATGCTGGTGAATTTCAATGAGAACCTCCAACAAAAGTCATAATTATCGCAAGTAAGAAAGTTCTAACATATACGGTTTAAGAAATAAATAAATCAAAAGACATGCTCCTGCTGTTTTTCACAAAGAGATGAAGCAAGAACAGAGCCAAAACAATTATTATTATGTTAAAGAATGGTCAAAACCTATCCATACCCTCACCCTGATTCCCTTGTAGATGTAATGATCTGGTGAGGAGCGGAAATCAGGTCTATGCTGGTGATTTTTAATGAGAACCTCCAACAAAAGTCATTATTGTTGCAAATAAGAAAGATCTTATTATTTTAAAGAGTGGCCAAAACCTATCCATACCTCACCCTGATTCCCCTGTAGATGTAAATGATCTGGTGAGGAGCAGAAATCAGGTCTATGCTGGTGAATTTCAATGAGAACCTCCAACAAAAGTCATCATTATCGCAAGTAAGAAAGTGCTAATGTATATGGTTTAAGAAATAAATAGATCAAAGACGCGCTCCTGCTGTTTTTCACAAAGAGATGAAGAAAGAACAGAGCCAAAACAATTCTTATTATTTCAAAGAATGGCCAAAACCTATCCGTACCTCACCCTGATTCCCCCGTAGATGTAATGATCTGGTGAGGAGCAGAAATCAGGTCTATGCTGGTGATTTTCAATGAAAACCTCCAACAAATGTCATCATTATTGCAAATAAGTTCTAACTTATACGGCTTAAGAAATAAATCAAAGACGTGCTCCTGCTGTTTTTTACAAAGAGATGAGCGAACTATTGGCGCTTTATAAATACTGTATAATAATAATAATAATAAATGAAAGAACAGAGCCAACATTTATTTAATGTATCTTTTTATAAAGAGTGGACAAAGTTAACCTATACCTGACCCTGAATCCCAAATAGATGTAATGTTCTGGTGAGGAAAGGAAATTGGGTCTACCTTGATGCTTTTCAATGAGAAATCGGGTCTACCTTGGTGCTTTTCAATGAGAAATCGGGTCTACCTTGGTGCTTTTCAATGAGAAATCGGGTCTACCTTGGTGCTTTTCAATGAGAAATCGGGTCTACCTTGGTGCTTTTCAATGAGAAATCGGGTCTACCTTGGTGCTTTTCAATGAAAACATTCAACAGAAATGCTCGTTATTCCAAATAGGAAAGTTCCAATTTCCACCTTGGACTCTTTGCGCATCAAAACCAAATCTTTTAATACTAGCTGAAAAGAGTAATCGTTTTTCTTCACCAATTCGTGAGATGCCTATTATACCACAGCTGCTCCTGGCAATGGCAAAGTTGGACAAATATTCCTTTGTCTATCATTTTTGGAACAAATACGTTTCAAAATAAATCAACTCCATAACTTCCACTGCGAGTCCAAAAACTAAAGTTTATGGCAAACTGTTATTGAAACACATAAAATAATAGATTTAGCAGCAATCAATTTTTTTACCTACAAAAAGTCATACCCTTTTAAATCTAATTATTCAAAACACGTCAAAATCAAACATATCTGTTGCCTGCTTTTGATGTTTTGATGCAACAGACATATCTGTTGCATGATATCTAAGATCTTTTTAAAATTGGTATCCTGGTGTCTCAATGACTATGATTTAATCATTATTTTTTATTATTATTATTATTATTAAAAAACATACAGGATTTATATAGTGCCAACAGTTCGCACAGCACATTACGAAATGAGGGCAGACAGCTCAGTTACAATACACTGCAATACAAGAGGAATGAGAGGGCTCTGCTCGTAAGAGCTTACAATCTAAAAAACGGAGGGTCAAGTGATACAAAAGGTATTATCTGTGGGGGATGAGCTGATGGAGAAAATAAAATTACAGTTATTTGGTGGAGGCAAGATAGGACTGTCTGAAGAGAAAGGTTTAAAAGGATCACCTAACTGAGGACAACGTAGGAGATAGTCAGGCCCATTGGGGTAGGGAGTTCTGGAGGATGTGAGAGGCTCAAGAGAAGTCCTGGAGGTGAGCATGGGAGGAGGTAACAAGGGAGCTAGAGAGCAGGAGGTCTTGGGAGGAATCAAGAGAATGATTAGGTTGGTATTTTGAGACCAGGTTAGTGATGTAACTGGGGCAGAGTTGCACATGACTTTGTAAAGTATTGTTAGTATTTTGAATTGAATTTGTTGGGTGAGTGGAGGACAATGTAGGGATTAGCAGAGAGAGGTTGCACACTGAATGGTTGATAAGGTGGATGAGCCTGGCAGCAGCAATCATAGTGAACTGAAGGAGGGATTGCATATGTAAAGTTAATCCAATGAGGAGGGAGTTTCAGTAGTTTTCAGAGAGATGACCAGGGAGTGAATTAGAAGCTTTGTGGTATCATTGGTTAGGAAAGGGTGTATTTTTGAGATGTTGAGTAGGTTGAGGTGGAAAGCTTTAGACAGTGATCGTGTCACGTACCTGATGGGAGACTGAAATGACGAGGTCAGCCTCATTTGTGTTACTAGCCCTGACCCCACTGGAGTTGGAACAGAGGGAGCCTAGGACCCAAGGGAACAAGAGTGCCAGTAGTTGTTGTTTGCAGCTCTTGCAGATGATGACCTTGGAAGGCTGATGATCCTCTGATTTTGGCACAGTAGTAGTAGACAGAGCAGGTTTTGTAGATTGCCAGGCGTGCACCAGAGCAAGGCTGGTAGTAAGGACAAGAGACAGGATCTGTGTCATGGAATAGCCAGGGTCATCAACAGTCGGGCAGGACGATACAGAATCAGAAGGAAAAGCCAAGGTCAGGAGCAGAGCCGAGTCAGGAACCAGTATCAATCAGGAGAGTAATCAGAGTCAGGTGAGGAACAAGCTGGGTCAGCAGCAAAGGAATCACACAGGAACAAGCAGGACAAGGGCGAGCTGAAGACCAGTCAGCACTGAACATGAGCAGAGACACTCCTTAAATAGGCCATCTGGCGCCAATCTTCGCCATGCGTGTGCACGTGCGCGTGCATATGCGCAATCGCATATTTCTGCATGCATGCGCACAAACGGCAATTCTCCTGCGGGAATTCCTATGTGCATGCGCATTTCCGATCACGATTTGTCTTGCCGGAAATCCTTTACAGATCGGATGTGGGGCTGAAAGGAAAGTTCAGAGTCCAGGACTACACCTAGCACCCTGGCATGCAGAGACAGGCTGATAGTTGTGCTATTGAACTTGACAAAAAAGACAGGGGAAGGGGCTCCTGGGGGAGAAATATTATGAGATTGGATTTGGAGAAATTAAGTTTGAGGAAGTGTTGTGACATCCAGACTGATATGTCTGTTAGCAAATTAGTGATCTGTGAGGAGACTGATGGAGTGAGCTGAAGGGTTGAGAGGTAGATTTGGGTGTCATCAATGTAGAAATGGCATTGAAAGCCATGGGAGGCTATCAGCTGACCCAGGGAGGAGCTGTAGATCGAGAACAGGAGAGGTCCAAGAACAGAACCTTGGGGGATTCTGACAGAAAAAGAAAGAGTAGAGGAGGAAGTGGAATTGTAAGGGATAGGTAGGATGAGAACCAACAGAGTGTACAACTAAAGGAGTGAAGTTTTTTTATAACGTATTCCAATAAGGGAACATTTATGGAAATTCCCAAACAGATTGTTACTATTATTTATGCCTATCATTCAATACCTGTAAAATAAATAGCAGTATATTGGGTAAATAAATATAAATTCATATTTTAAAAGTTGTATTTCCTTTGTTTATCCATGTTTGCATGCCCCCAATTCTGAATGAGCGAAGTACAGTGTGTTTGTGTGTGTATGTAAGTATGTTTTGTGTGAGTGGGCTATAGGCCTATGAGAAGGTAAGTTCAATAATCCAGGTGAGAGATCGCTGTGACCAGCCTGAAGTGATGATCCCAATAGTGCTCCCCCACTTATGCAGGCCATAGATGGGGAGAAAACTGGCTGATTTTTCTTTAAAAAAATGAAAAATCGGTCGTTCAAGCAGCCAACGTTACCAGGAACGGTAAAAAAAAAACGGCCGATTTTCATCCCGTCTACAGCCGGCAAAAAGTGTCCCTGCAGAGAGCTCCGCTATTGCTTTGACAGTTCCTTGACATTTATAGCAGTTGCAACAATGTATCTATTTGTATCCATTTCGGATGCAGATGTTTTTCTTCGGAAACAAATAGATACCTTGTTGCAACCGCTATAAAT